TCCTGACCCGCCCGCTGCTCCCCTCAGCAGTGTACTTCATCAATCTGCCTGTTCTGTACCCCACTCTGTCTCTGGTGAATCCTCTCACCCTCCGCCATCTCTGACCTGTACCCCAGTTCTGTATGAATAAATAAATAAATCTTTTAAAAAAAATGTTATTCCATCATATAGACATGCCATAATTATCCATTCTGCCATTATTGTTATAATTTTTCACCACTATAATTAAAGCCTATCACAAATCTTCCCTTGCATCTCAAGTTATTTTTCCTTGAATACTTCCTAGAAATGAAATTACCAAGTTGTACTAATATACACATGCTAGCAATAATATGTGTGTTCATTTCATCAAATCCTTGCCAGATGCTGAGTCACTTTTTAATTCATTTTTCAACTGCAGCGAGTGATGCTGTCATTGATAATACAGTGAGTGGGCAAAAGAGACATGTATAAAACTGAAAATAGCAAAAAGTTGTAGACTTCAGTCATAAGATTATCTGGTATGGCAGTATGGTATGCTACTGCATCCTTTGACAAGTCATAGATACAAATATCTTTACTAAAGAAAAAAGCTTCAATATCTTAGAAAGTTTAGATACACCTGGAAAAGAACAGAACAGTTTCTCACATCAACTTGTGGTTATGTTTAATCTTATGACTAAGGTAAATACTCACAATATACCATTTGTTAGAAGTGAGATTTGTAATAAATATGCAGACCAGAATACACAGCCACAGAATAACTCTAAAAATTAAGAACCAGAAATTATTTAAATATGAAAATGCTGGCTTGCAGATGAGATCTGTAAAGGTAAATATGATGTACATTCAATCATGAAAAAAAGAAAACATGCTTCTCTTGATGTCTGTGGCCAACCTTCAATTGAGAACATATCTAAAAAACATGCACTAAAAAAAGGTATGTTCATTTTTTTATAGTGAATATACAAAATTAAAACTAAAAAACAAAGTCCTTGAAGTAATAGAATTTTGTACTGGTGAAAGAGAATGATTTCAAACCAAGAGACAATGGTAATTCATTGAGGAGAAGAAGTGGGAAAATAGAGTGAAATAAATGATGATGGAACAATGGGATATCCACAGGCAAGAAGATGATCTTAGACATTTTACTCATACTACATACAAAATAAAACATGAAACTTTACTGGACACAAAATTGGGATAAAAAGGACAAAAAGTTTTTGGGGTGAGTTGGAGAAATGTATACATAGAATGAATATCAGAAGACAAAATTCTGTTACATTTTCAGTTTTGACAGTGGTTTTTACAATCCTGTATGATTTACGTACAAAGGTTTAGAAAAAACTTACAAGAATAATCCACTTTAGTTAGTAAGCTTGCTGTATATAACAGCATTGATACATTAATTCTGAAATACACTTGTACACAAAGGAAGACAAAGCAGGTGAGTAAATAACTTGGTGTTCTTGGGAGCAAGGGTTCCAACCGAGAGAGAAAATAGATAAAAATGTAGAATTGGAGGAGGTCAGAAGAAATCCTGTGAGGGTAAAATTGATAGCATGTAAGCATGAATTGCATGTTTGTATTTGTTATTCTAGCTCTAACCATTCAGAGAACAATAGCACTCCAATAACAACAATGAATGTATCTATTTGCAAGATCTTGATTTCTAAATGCCATTCTCCAGTAAAAGGAACCAATGCAGATGACCTATCCTGGGACTGAGAAGGGAAAGGATAAAATGAGCTTAGAACACTTTGTTCTA